GGGATTTTTTGGCTGCACACTATCCTGAACTAGTGCCTTCAGGGAAAAATCTAGAGACTCTAGATTTCTTCCCGGTGTGGAATCAAACAGCCCACAACTACAAGGAAATACTTTATTAATATGATAATTCTTCAAAATGTTTCTTTAAATATATTTAATAACTCAAAAGCTTTAGAATTTAAAAATATTTGACTGTCAGATCAGACGTTAGAGATCACTAAATCCAAATATCTTTTTAAAGTCTTTATTGTTGAAAGTTTTACAGATTTAAATCCAAATATCTTAATTTACAGATGATAAAGATAAAACATACATGATTTACCAAAGGGCCAGCTAGTTTTCATTAATCCATGCTATCTCAAATCAGAAAGTGATATTGATGACCTATCTATAAGCCAGGGGTCCAGGTCTCCATAAGTGATCTTAGTAGACAATGAATTCAATTAATCTAAAGCAAAGAGATTTTTTGCAATGAAACTGATACAACAGAAGAATCAGATTAAATTCCTTAATAAGTGCTAAACACCTTCTTACGTTTCCTACACAGAAAGCTCTCTTTTCCTCTAGAGAGCTAGTCCAGCGTATAGGTTAAGAATGCTGACTCTGGGTCCAGGCAGCACAATTTAGAATTCTTACGTTGCCTCTTTCTGGCTGTGTAACCCTATGGCAATTTACTTAACAGCTCTGTGTCTACTTCCTGATGTTTAAAGGAATAATCAGAGTATGTAAACAATCATACATGGCTAGTACATGTAAGTATTCTATTAATATTAGTCATTATTATAATTATTATTTCACTTAGGGAGTTTTCTTATCAAAACATGGGAAAGTAACCAAGATATGAAGAAAGTACTCTTAAAAGCAGCTATTAAAATGTAATTACGATCACTGTAGTAAAATACTGATGAAACATGAAGGGTAAAATTGAAAGAATAGTTCCTAAAAGGACAATTTATGAGTCAAATCCTACTTAATAAACATGCACAAACACACAAACAACATGCAGAAGAAGTTTTGCCTTTAATGTTCAAAAACAAACTTTGCTGAAGCTCTTTCTCAATGGTTAAACACTAATGTCAGTGTTTGGGGGTTTCGATAGGGGTCAGGCCTCAGTAGTTAAATGACTGCTTAACCACAAGTGCCACAGCCAGAGTGATGTCTCTTACTAAGCTACATCCTAGAATTCCACAAATATTTGGATTTCAATTTCACTCAAAGATAGCCCTTTTTTAAAATCCTCACCTGAGGATATTTTTTCCACTGATTTTTAGAGAAAGTGGAAGGGAGGGAGAAAGCGGGGGAGAGAAACATCGATGTTAGAGAGACACATCAGTTGGTTGTCTCCTGTACACAACCTTACTGGGGGCCTGGGATCAAACCTGTAACCCAGGTACTACCCTTGACCAGAATCGAACCCAACACCCTTTGGTTCAAGGGCCAATGCTCTAACCACTGAGCAACTGGCCAGGGCCAAAGACAGCCTTTTAAAGTTATGCAGTAGGAAGAGTACATAGCACTCTCACAGAGAGGAAAGGAGGGGGATAGAGAGTTAGAAACATCAATGAGAGAGAAACATTGATCAGCTGCCTCCTACACACTCCCTACTGGGGATGTGCCCGCAACCAAGGTACATGCCCTTGACCAGAATCGAACCTGGGACCCTTGAGTCCGCAGGCCGATGCTCTATCCACTGAGCCAAACCAGTTAGGGCAAAGACAGCCTTTTAAAGTTATGCAGTAGGAAGAGTACATAGCACTCTCCCTTGCAGGAACTTCTATCAAGTTGGAAAGTCATGCCAGAGTCACAGAACACAGGATCTCTATAGCTATGTGACCTTGGCTCACTTAAAAGGTCTCTAAAATTCATCACCTCTGCCAAAACCGGTTTGGCTCAGTGGATAGAGCGTCGTCCTGCGGACTGGAGGGTCCCAGGTTCGATTCCGGTCAGGGGCATGTGCCTGGGTTGAGGGCACATTCCCAGTGGGGGATGTGCAGGAGGCGGCTGATCGATGTTTCTCTCTCATCGATGTTTCTGGCTCTCTGTCTCTCTCCCTTCCTCTCTGTAAAAAATCAATCAAATATATTAAAAAAAAAAAAAAAAGAAAAAAAAAAATTCATCACCTCATCCAAAAACTGGCGCTAACGTCTATCTCCCAGATTTGGGGGGGAGGGAGGGGGATGTAGGGGGAACAAGGAGAATGAGGAGGTAAACTAAGATTTATATGAAAATGCTTCGAGAATAGCTCACACATTGCCAATCCTGACCCTTTTCTCCCATAGGCAATGAATGGGAGAGGAGGACAAATAGCAAGCTAAGGTTAAACTGCAATTTGTGTCTAGGATACATTAAGCTTTGATCATCATTCCTATTCTAGGTTGTTTCTGGAAATGTAAAACCTTGTTATAGTCTCAGATTTGTTTTTTAAATGTGGGATTCCAGATATCCCCATAATTCATGAAAGGCATATTAGGGTCAATCATCCTCCTGCCTAGCAGCTTCAAACTCATAACAAAGAAAAAACCACAATCCCTATTGATATATTTTTTCCCTCAACCAGCACAGACTGAATGCTGCCATAGTAAAATGTCTTTTAAGAAATCTTTAGGGGTATTTTAGGAAATTAATCCTATTTCTACAATCAGTATAAAAATCTATTAGCTTCTTCCAAAGCTAAAAAGACTTTGAGGAAAATCCCAATGGTACTCAAATAAAAATTTTGCATTTCAAGCTCGTATAACTTGATATTAAATGGAGCTTTATAAACTATTAAGCTCATAAAAAAGGAAATTTAATCTATCCTAAGTATGGAGGAATGGAAGAGTCTGGGGCCTCTAAATACACTCAGTCCCATGCACTGACCCAGAGTCAAAAGCAGGGTTTTTTTTTTTTAAAGCATGCTAAAAAAAAAAAAAACACGGTGCAACTTCAGTGCAAATCAGAAACATCAAGAAATGAACAAAACTGTCACTTTTGTTTCATGACAAACAGAACCATCCAAGTAATATCTAATGCACAGGAATAACTGGGAGGAACTTATAAAATAAAAACAAAATTCAGGAATCTTTACAATGGCAATATTTGAAAAGAAGTCTTATTTAACTTTAATTAAATATAATTCACTTCAATGAAGTCATTGTCTTAAGTCCACTCTAATATACTAATCAACAGTAATTTAAATTAGTAAATTTCAAAATATTTTCTGGATTTTTTATTTATTTTTGCTTTTGGATCCTAATCTATCTTGCCATATAAATATCACTGATGCAGGCACTAATTCAATTTTTTTAAAAAAGAGTTCTGAGAAAATATTTTCTAATCCAGTTAAAACAAATCCACCATAAAAAGTCACTGTGCTGTTATAACTTGACCTGACCCTAGGAGGTAGGCATTTTTATTTCTACAACATCCATTTTAAAGATGAAGAAACTGAGGTTTATAGATGTAAAATCATGCTTAAGATCACTCAGCTAGTAAGGTGAAAACTAATTTTCCAACTAGCTACGTGTAACCTTTAAAGAACAGAACTTCAATAATCGCATTCTAGGGTGGCAGCAGTTCATGTGAAAGAAGTAATCTGCTTCTATCTAAATACACCTATTAAAAGCAGACCCTGTCAAATAGGTTTGACTTGTTTCCTATTTTTAGATGTGCATAGCAGAAATGTCTGGCGACATCAACGCCAAACTTTTAAAATTTAACCATCATCTTCTAAGCCAGTACCTCACATGTGAAAATAGGGAAGAAATATCGCACATAAATGACTCAGGAGCCACGCCTGTGAAAAATGAAGCTGAATTGTTGTCCCTCGCTGTCCTCTACCCCACCCCCAGAATCAATCAAGAAACAAAATACACAACTTCCAGAGAACAGGAGAGACAGAACAAGCAGGAGAATTGAGCCATTAGACCAGGCTCCTCGGTCCATCCCTTTGGCCCGAGGGGCTGAGCTCTAAAGGTGCTCTACTGCCATTTATAAATTTAACAATTGTGACGGTTAGAAAGGCGGCTGCAACATGAGCCCACATTGTCCGCGAAAAAGCTGAAGGAGAACATTTTATCCCGACGACCAGGTCCCATTTCTAGCTTCTCTGTCAATTATACAAAGAGGCGGCTATTAAAGATTAATGGCATGCATGCCATTTGCACTGGAGCTCTCTCCAGAACGAGCCTCCTGCTACCGATTTTTGTGATGAGAGGGAAAAGGTCCTTATTTTCTAGATAAACCCCAAGCCACTGGAACCGCTCCGATAGGCTGCCGGCTTCTGTCCTTGCCAGAGGTGGCTGCTCGGGCCTCCCCACAGGCAGAGGAGGTGGAAGAGCTCGGGAAGGGCGGGTCCCCGCAGGTCCCGGGGCAGGGGTCCGGGTTCTCCGCTCCCCCCAGCTGTCAGCCACAGGTCGGCGGCGGGGCGGGGCGGGGCCAGGGTCCACAGTCCGCACAAAGCGAGCCGGCGGGCGGCGGGCGGACCGGACCCGGCGGGATGGGGGCCGGCGGGGCGGGGTGGAGCGAGGCGAGGAGGTGCAGGGGGGGGACACTTACCCAGCAGCAGGACGTTCTTTCCCCGCGGGGAGCTTGGATCGCGAGCGGGTGGAGACCTCGCTGAGGATGCAGGACCTAACGGGGAGCAAGGCGCACGCTGAGGCCGGGGGCTGAGGCCACCGCGCGGGAGGGAGGGATGGACACGGCCTCGGCGCGCCTGGGCGGGGGCTGCGGGGGACGCGGTGGCCTGGGCCCGGCGCCGAGCTCGGGCGGGCACGGATCCCCAGGCGCCCGCAGGGCCGGGAGTGCTAGCGGGGACCCAGGGAGGGGTGGGGTCGTTACCAAAGGTTCTGCCCGTCCTCGTCGTCGCCTGCTGCGGCGCCGCCGTTGCCCGAGGTTAGCTCGTTGGCCAAGGAGCCGCCCGTGTAAGTCGAGGCTAATCCCGGCGGAGAAGAGCCGAAGGAGCTGACTCGCCCCACAGCCGCCATTTTGGTCGGGAATCACACCACTCCCGGCAAAGCTGAATGAGCGAGGCGGCCGCGGCGGCGGCGGCGGGAACCCGGATATGGAGCGTTCGGCGCACGGGAGCGGGGCGTGGCCTGTGGGGGCGGAGTCCGGGCTCTGCAGGGACTGAAGGGAGGGTGCGAGCACGGACTGCGCGTGCGCCACAGGCTGGCGGGCGCAGAGGGGGATGTGCGTGCGCGTGCGCGTGTGCCGCGTACGGCCGAGGAGCCCGATCGGTGCTGCAGCCCCGGCTCCGCTGAGCTCAGCACGTTGAACTGCTTCGCGCCTCCCCGCTCGCAGCCCTGGGCTGCATCAGGGCGGAGTGGGGGGTGTCAGGTGAACAGTGCTCCCTCCCATTCTTCAGTTGGGTCCACCAACCCCGCAGCCGGCGTGGGATTCCTGCGCTGCCATTGCCGTTCCACCGTTCAGGCTCAGCGCCTGGTTCCCAGCCTACACCCAGGGCTTCACCATCGCCTACGGGGAAATGGGCCGCTCCGCTGCAAAAGAGGCCGCCGTGGTGTAGCCCGGGGTCTGCAGGGTTGTTTTGGCCCCCGGTTTCTGGGCTCTCCGCCTTCTCAGGTGGCAACGTGTTCCTCAAACCTTTGTTCCCCCATCAGGAGCAGATTCCCCCAGCTCCTAAGCAGCTGCATGACAAAAAAAAAAAGTGTGTTGGCGAGACTTGTTTTAATGGCCAGGATTTTTGCAGGAGACGCTCCTGATGAGATTCGAAAAGATCCACTAGGTGAGTTATTCATCCATCCATCCATCCAGTCAACAGACGTTTTATTCAACACTTACAATGGCAGGCGCAGTTGGTACCGGGAATACACAGATGGGAAAAAAAAAGTAACCGAAAATAGCTGTAAAATAACCCCCTTTTCGATCGAAACTTTACTGGTTAAAATATTTGAATGTCGAGCCCCATGTCCAGAAAGAGTTGTCGGTCAAAGGCTCTATTCTAGGACACCTTGTCAGAGCAGTTGCTTAAAATAATCTGGCCTTTGTACATTTGCACCGTCAACTTGCATTTGAAGATCACCTGGTAATGTATGACCTCATCAGTTCCGTTAGGCTAGTGAGAAAATCCACAGCTAGACTAGACTGCTTGCTGTACATTAACATTGCGGTTAGCCTGAAAGGCTTTGGAAGCTGGCAAATCAGAGTTCAGTCTTAGCTCAATCAGTTACTGGCCATGTAACCTTAGACAAGTCTCTTAACCTCGCTGAGTCTCAGTTTCCTTAGCTGTACGATGGGGATAAAAGGACCTAGAATTGTTAGGAAGATTAAGATGATTCCGGTAAAATGGCTTAGACCAGTGACTGACACATTTTAAGTGCTCAATACATGTTTATGATTAATAACTGATGTTTACCTTTCAAACCAGTAATATCTGACCAAACCCTGGAACTGAAGGGTCCAATGAACTCCTGCAGCTAAAACTCTTCATTTTTTTGTTTGTTTGTTTGTATGATTAGGAAAGGAACCAGAACCCTGTCTTGGAATCCCAGGCTTTCTATGGTGACAAGCAGGATGGGGACTCCCAGGGGGGACCTGGGACTTGAAGTCACTGTTGTAAAGAACTGTATACTGCACTTGGCCCCTCAAAGTCGATGCACTGTCTATACTTTATTCCCTCAGTCATCTTTTTTCCTAAGCATTTCCCCCTCAATTTTGTTTATATACAGAGTTGTCAGTTCCATATCATACTTACTTATTCTGGGAAGTATTAATTTTATAACAGTGTCAGGCCGCTAATGCCCCATGACTTCTAGATGCCCAGCTACCTACTTATATTGAGGTCAAAGTTGTATTCCTTGTGGTTTTATAATATCCCTATCCAGCATTATTCCATTAAGATAGCTGGCAAGAGCCCAGCCAGCGTGGTTCAGTGGTCAGCGTGGTTCAGTGGTTGAGCATCATCCTATGAACCAGGAGGTCACAGTTCAATTCCCGGGTACATGCCCGGGGTTATGGGCTCAATCCCCAGTGTGGGGCGTGCAGGAAGCAGCTGATCAATGATTCTCTCTCATCATTGATGTTTCTCTCTCTCTCTCTCTCTCTTCCTCTCTGAAATCAATAAAAATAATAATAAATAAAAGAATAATCCATACTTTTACACTGAAAGCAATCCCTCCATTTTTGCACTAAATTCCGTCTCCTGTCCTCAACTCAAGGACATTGCTCCAACAATTCTTCCCCTTCTTTCTCTATATAATCATTTATTGATCTCCACTGGATCATTTCCATTAGCATACAAATATGCTATTAATTCTCCCATCTTAAAAAAAATTTTTTTCTCTTAACCCTACTCCTTAACTGCTACATTTCCCCCACTTCCTTTAACAGCAGAACTTTTTAAAATAGTTGTCTTTATTGACTATTTTCAGTTTTCTCCCCCCTTGCCCTTATAACCCACTTCAATCAGACTTTTGCCCTATGATGATGTCACAGAAACTGCCCTTATTCTTGTTGTCAATGACCTCCTTGTTGCTAAATCTAATGGTAAATTCTCCATCCTTGTCTTTCTTGGGGTCTCAGCAGCACAAGATACTGTTGATCACCCCTTCTGAGTATCCTTCTTCACTTGGCTTTCAGGTCACCATATTCTCTTGAAGTTCTCTTCCTGCCTCACTAGCTGCTCCTTCCCAGTCTCCTTCACCATTTCCTCATTTTCCTGATCAATTAAAGTTAAAGGACTCCAGGGCTCACTCAGCCTTTGTTCCTCTTCTGTATCTACATTTACTCCTTTGGGGACCTCATCTAGTCTTTTTTTTTAAATATATTTTATTGATTTTATTTTTTTACAGAGAGGAAGGGAGAGGGATAGAGAGTTAGAAACATTGATCAGCTACCTCCTGCACAACCCCCACTGGGGATGTGCCCGCAACCAAGGTACATGTCCTTGACCAGAATCGAATCTGGGACCCTTGAGTCTGCAGGCCAACGCTCTATCCACTGAGCCAAACCGATTAGGGCTCAGCTAGTCTTATTACTTTAAATTTCATCTCTGTGATAAAACTCCCAAATTTATTTTATTTTTTATTAAATTTTATAGGGGTGACACTAGTTAACAAAATTATAAGATTTCATGTGCACAGTTCTACAACACATCATCTGTACACTGTATTGTATGTTCACCACCCCAAGTCAAGTCTCCGTCAAAACTCCCAAATTTATCTCTCCAGCCCAGAGCTCCATCTGGAACTCCAGATTAATACATCCAGCTGCTTATTCCACATCTCCACTTGGATGTCTAATAGTGTCTCAAACTCGGCATGCTCCGAACTGAACTTCTTCTTATCCCCGCAAAAGCTCCTTTACCCACTGCCTTTCCCACTAGGTAGCAATGCTTTGTTGCCTGAGCATGTCTCTCACCTCCCACATAGAATCCATTTGGAATCCTATAGTCTCTACCTTCAAAATATACCCACAATCCAATTTTTTATCATTCATCCACTGATACCACCCTGGTCTGAGCTATCATTTCTTGCCTATATTACTGTAAAAGGCTCCTCAACATGGCAGCTAGAGGAATCTTTAAAAATATAATCCAGATCATGTAACTCCTCTATCCAGAACCTACAGTGGCTCCTCATTTTAATCAGAGTAAAAGCTAAAGTGACCCATAGGCTGTACAGGATCTGGACCCAATGGCTCTCTGAATTTTTCTGCTCCACTTTCTCCCTCAATTTCTCCTATCCAGCCATATTGGCCCCACTGTTGTTCTTTAAACATACAAATAGAGATTTTCTTTCTAGTGTTTTCTATGAAGGGAAACACTAGTTTATTTCCTTTTCTTTTGGTTTTGGCTTTTCAGTTGGCATTTATATAAACTGCCATCGCCAGCATTTGGTGAAGCAAGTCTTATCTGAAAATCTGTTTAGCTAACTCCCTCTCCTCCTGCAATGTTTTTGCTCAGTTCTCAGCTTCTTGATGAGGTCTAACCTGAACACTCCATTTAACACTCCAACTTGAACCTTTATCCCTGGAATTACAGATTCTTCATATCTTGCTTGCCTTTTTTTTTTTGTTTTCCATAACATTTATTGCCTTCTAACATGGTATAGAATTTACTTGTTTATTAGAATTTAAGCTCTGTGAGGGCTTCATTAATATACCCCAAGCACTTTGTGCCTGGAACATAAGCAGACATTTAGTAATGTTTTGTCGAAGGTATGAATGAATGAACAGATTTACTCCTTGTCACCAGGGTTCTAAACTTTCATAATGATAATGATGAGTATGATGATTATGATGCATGTGCTTCTGTGTGTGTGTGTGTGTGTGTGTGTGTGTTTTAAAAGTGGGTACAAAAAAATTCTTCAACACCTGAAAGCTCTCATTTACAATATTTTAACCATTTTTTAATATAAATCCTTCTATGCCCTAGCCGGTTTAGCTCACTGGATGGAGCATCGGCCTGCAGACTGAAGGGTCCCGGGTTCGATTCCAGCCAAGGGCATGTACCTTGGTTGTGGGCACATCCCCCGTGGGGGGTGTGCAGGAGGCAGCTGATCGATGCTTCTCTCTCATCGATGTTTCTAACTCTCTATCCCTCTCCCTTCCTCTCTGTAAAAAATCAATAAAATATATTTAAAAAAAAATATATAAATCCTTCTAAAATATACATTCTCTTGATACGTTAACAGGTGATATGAACACAGATTTTTTATTGGAGGCTCTGGGTTTCCTTAGGTTTATTAATAATAGTATCTTGCTTTCATAAAGAAGTGCTTAGATCCTGCTGAGATGCCCAGCGGTGTACCCCAGATGTCTTTTTCAGTTTTGTGTCTGATTTAGCTGAGCCTCAGGGCCTGGAAGTGGGAAATGGAATGCTAGCCAGAAAAGAAACAGCTCCTCCTCTCTGCAGCTTTCTATCTGCTGGGAGTTACCTCTCTCTCTCTCTCTCTCTCTCTCTCTCTCTCTCTCTCTCTCTCTCTCTCCCTCTCTCCCTCTCTCCTCCATCATCCCCATCTTATGCATCAGCTTCCTGAAGGCCACACTTAGCCATTTCTTTATCTCAAGAAAAGTGATCATTTGACAGGCACAGAGCTCTGTAGAAAACTGGCGTGGGAGGGGAACTTTCTGGGGGATTGAAATGGGGGGTAGAGACCACTTCCTCTTTCCATTGGGGATGTTTCCTTCTGTGTTTGAGAACTAGGACAAGGCAGCCACCCCTCGAGCTGCTTCCTGTTGTACCAGCTCCCACAGGCTGCCTCCAGCAGATTTTCAGATAAGATTTGCTTCACCCACTGTGCCAAATGCTGGCAATCACAGTGGATATAAATGCCAGCTGAAAAGCCAAAACCAAAAGAAAAGGAAATAAGCAAGGAGTGTTTTCCCTTCATAGAAAACACTAGAAAGAAAATCTCCTCTATTTGTAGGTCTAAGATGAAATTCACCCTCCCTCCTTCTTAAAAAATCAATACCTGTGTATGCATATGTGTGTGTTTGTGTGCAAGCATACTTTAGGATTAAATTTTACAAAGAAAAAAATTTCTATTTGCTTAAATATACATCATTGAAAAATACACCCTGAATATTTTTTTAACTTTCTAGATAAAGTAATACTTTGAGTTGTCTTTTTATTTCAGGCTGAACCCACCACCATACTATAAATAATTCATTCCTAGGAAATAAGTGATGATTGGAAGGGTAACAACCTATAAATCAATTTACATTCACAGAAGCTTTAATAGACAACCAGTAAAATGCACAGGGAAAACAAAGAGACTATTTTATAGGCTAGAAGAATATTTATTCTTCATCAATGTGTTTTAATTATCTACTTATACATTTTAAAATACAGAATAGATAGGATTTTTAGAATACTTGGTGTCATTGTTTTAATCTGTTCTTTACCACTAAAAAGAAGAAAGATAAAGGTTCGCTGATTAATGTATTGTTAGCTGGGTATGTATTTTTGGAGGATCTCATTTCCTTGTAATCAAATACTCTGAAGTTCAAATCCATTACCTTTTAAGAAAACTGTGACTTTAGTGCAGCTTACTTCTTAGATTTCCAGTGTTATACTCTGCCAACCTCCTTACTTCCTAAAGGAGAAGATATCTAATAATTGATTTTATAAATTGAGATATGCCAACACTCGGTCATAAAAGTCATCCAGTTTTTCTGCTTTGGCAGCCCTATATGAGGCAAAGTAGAAAAAATATGAAATTCCCTGGTATTTTTAGAAATGTGCTTTCTTTTGTAGCTGCAGGTGATTTCATATTTATAATAATTCAATCTACTGTTAGTCTAGAGTTAATTATAGTTTCTTACTGCTTTTACTAAAAGTAAGCCTAGAATTATGAACTGCAGGAAATTATGAACTACTATATTCTGCACCAACAAAAACATTATGTTTTGTTTTTTTCTTCACATGGGAAAGAGTACAAAAGAGTTGCCCAGTGGGAAATTTCTTATAAGCAAAACGAATCAGTTATTTTTACACCATATAAAATAAAAGAGTTGTTTATTTGAAGGTGTTTGAGTAGATTCTAATGATCTTAAACATTTTACTTCTAGGAAACAAAAAGTTAGAGTTGCCTTGGAATGTAAAAATGAAATGGAAAAGCAGAGCATCCTTTCTAATCCTTCCTCAGTAAATCCCAGGGTTGTTTTGAGGAGTCAAGCTCGTCTTATATTTCACTTCACCCTTTGGTAAATGCGGAATAGCCAGAAAACCTACTAGAATTTTCACCATGATATATTTGGATACACTGGCTCCGGTCTAAGAAGTATATTGGCTATATGATCTCATGGTTTTGAAATGTGTTTTAAATAGCAGCACTATTATATGGAATGTGACATTTGAGACCCTGTCCACACTATCAGACCTAAGTATTAGATTAAACAATATTAATGAAAAAT